TTGGAAGATGGAGGATTTTAGGGGAGGTTCTAAAACATACACTGTAGGAGAAGAAAGGCTTTGTGAACAACACTTCGTAAAGACGACGTTACGGAACGAGCAAGGTAGATATGTGGTTCAACTACCGCTTAAGCAACAATTAGTCGATAATTTAGGCACATCAAGGGATATTGCGCTAAATCGTTTACGTTCGTTGGAAAGACGTTTCGATAAGGATCCCAATTTAAGGGTGCGATACTCGAACTTCATACATGAATATATCGATCTAGGTCACGTACGTCAGATATTGGAGGAGGATCCTAATGAACCCGGTGCTTATTACATGCCTCATCACTGCGTGTTGAAAGAGGATGCCAAGAGCACTAAGCTCCGCGTAGTTTTCGACGCATCCTGCAAAGCGGATAGCGGACTTTCATTAAACGATATAATGATGGTAGGGCCGGTTATTCAGGATGATCTTTTCTCCATACTTTTAAGGTTTAGGATTCATCTTTACGTTCTCGTGGCAGACATAGTTAAAATGTATCGGCAGGTATTGGTCCATCCATCTCAAACGAAACTGCAGAGATTTCTATGGCGCGATGACAAAACTTTAGACGTTCAAACATTTGAGTCGCTCGTTGTCACGTTTGGCGAAGCCGCAGCTGCCTTTTTGGTCATAAGATGTCTCATCGATTTAGCAGAGCGATACGAAAAGGAATTCCCGATAGCGTCTTTGATTCTAAAGCGTGACTTTTACATGGACGATATGCTCACCGGAGCTGACTCGAAGCAGGAAGCATTAGCAATACGCGATCAGATAATACCATTATTAAGATTAGGCTCTTTTGAGCTTAGCAAATGGGGGTCTAATTGCCCTGAGTTATTAGCGGGTATTAGCGATCGAAGTGACAGAGTCGTGCCTTTCGACAAGGACAACAATTTCCGCGTATTAGGTACTGGGTGGGACATGAGAGATGATCTTTTTTGTTTTTCTTTAAATCCCTTGCCATCTTCACGCACCATTACGAAACGATTAATACTTTCAGAATTGGCTAAGCTATTTGATCCTATGGGACTACTCGGGCCAACCGTAGTAGTGGCGAAAATCCTTCTGCAAACCCTTTGGCAATCGGGTGTAGGCTGGGATGAATCTGTTCCCCAGGAGGTCCACACTAAGTGGTTGCAGTTTAGGTTACAACTTTCAAACATCGATAAATTGCGAATACCGCGGTGTGTCAAGCAACGAGCAGAGGCACGGTTTATACAAATTCATGGGTTTTGTGACGCGAGCGAACGAGCTTGTGTTTACGTTCGCACTCAATTGGGTCCAGAAAGCTATGCTTCTCATCTCCTTTGCTCGAAATCCCGTGTAGCTCCTGTCAAGGCTATTTCTCTCCCTCGTCTTGAATTGGCCGCGGCATTGTTGTTGTCCCAATTGATGGATAAGGTCAAGTCAGCTATCGACACGATAGGCATGAGTATACGGTTGTGGTCCGATTCAACCATAACGCTTAATTGGATAAACTCCCATTCCCGTAAATGGTCAACATTTGTCGCTAACCGAGTGGGAGAGATTCAAAGATTGACGGAAACTTCCAATTGGCGACATGTCAAGTCATCTAATAATCCTGCGGACGTTTTGTCCAGAGGGTTGCTCCCAAGTGAGTTAGTAGATTGCGAATTGTGGTGGCATGGCCCTTCTTATTTGAGGCTACCTGAGTGCGATTGGCCTAGTAGCGAATTTGAGGTTCTTACTGAGGACCTTCCTGAGCAGAAAGTAGCTTGTATGGCTGCTTCTTCTTTCGACTTCGGCACTTTGAACGACTTGATTGAGACAGGTCTTCTAACCTAAATAAAACGTGCAGGATCGTAGCATACTGTCGTAGGTTTTTTACGCCCAACCAGGCCAAGGCATCTACGGTAAGGGTGTCTCCGCAGGAAATATCGCTCTCATTAAATTTCTTATGCAGAATGATTCAAAGGCAGAGTTTTCCCGAAGAATATGCTTCGTTAAGCAGGCGGGAGAATGTTAATAATTCTAGTAAGTTAGACTTTAGCTCCGTTTATGGATGGCGATAATTTAATCAGAGTCGGGGGCAGGTTGAATAATTCGGAACTAGGTTATGAAGCCTGTCATCAAATAGTACTTCCACGGAATCATAGATTAACCAAACAAATAATAGAACACGAACATTTACGCAACCTTCACGCCGGTTTGCAGGCTACCATGGCGTCCGTTAGACAGCGGTTTTGGCCACTAGCATTAAGGTCAACTGCGCGAAAGATTATCAACAGTTGTATCATTTGTTTCAAGTCGCGCCCTGTCTTTTCCGAGGCTCCAATGGGCACTTTACCGGCATCTAGAGTCACAATTTCTCGCCCTTTTTCTCATTGCGGAGTAGATTATGCCGGACCAGTGACCTTGCGAGAAGGGAGTCGACGTAATTCGCGAAATCGTAAGGCTTATATAGCCGTTTTCGTTTGCTTTGCGACGAAGGCAGTGCATTTAGAAATAGTCAGCGATCTTACTACCGACGCATTTATTGCTGCGCTAAAAAGGCTTATTTCGCGAAGAGGAAAGTCTGACCAAATGTATTCCGACAATGCGACGACATTCGTTGGAGCTCAGAGGCAATTAAAAGAGTTTTACGACTTTTTGCGAATTGATGAAACCCAAGCGGCGATAGGGCATTTCTTACGCGGTCATGAAACCACCTGGAATTTTATACCTCCTAATGCTCCGCATTTTGGGGGCCTTTGGGAGGCAGCGGTTAAATCCGTGAAATACCACCTCGTACGAATAGTAGGTGGGCAGAATTTAACTTTCGAAGAGATGGTAACGGTTTTGTGCGAAATTGAAGCCGTATTGAACTCGCGACCTCTGACGCCGCTGAGCTCCGACCCTAATGATATGGCTTACTTAAGTCCCGGGCATTTTCTGGTTGGCGCGCCGTTGAATAGTTTTCCCGTGTCCGATTTAAGTGATGTAAACGTAAATTGACTCACACGATGGCAGACGATTCAGCAAATGCTTCAGCATTTTTGGACGAGATGGCGCAACGAATATTTAAACTCCCTTCAGGAACGCCACAAATGGCAACGGGCTAAGGGCCAGCAATTAGAGCCAGGACAGTTAGTAATAATAAAGCAGCAAGGCCTGGCACCATTGCAATGGTTAACCTGCCGAATAGAGCGAGTGCATCTGGGAGCGGACGGTGTGGCTCGTTCAGCCACTGTTAAAACGACCAAAGGGTCTTACGACAGGCCATTGACCAAATTAGCGGTACTCCCGCTCTAACTCGCGCGTTTTCATTAGGATTTAAGAATGATTGTTTGTCTCATTGTTTAGATGCGGAATTGA